ACATACGGGCCCGCCAAAGTTTTTTTCGGGTAAGTTGATAACTCGAGTACCTGAGAAGCTAAAGGAGTGTAATTTTAAGAGGATATACCCCGTTCACCTAAGTTTCATTCAGCTAAAACCCAACTCTCGGGTATGCGTGGCAAACACGCACGGGCCCGTGAAAATTCTGTTCCAGTAAGTTGCTAAGTCAGGTGCCAGGGAAGCTAGAAAGTTGAAATTTTAAGAGGGTGTTTTCTGACAATCCTGGCGGCCAGTCTTAATTTTTTTAGCTACAAGCATTTGCCGAAAAAGCCGGTGCCAGTAGCAACAAAAACTACGGGGGACTATGCAAAAAACACATCTTCGCGCGGGCAGCCCGTGCGTTGGCCAATTATTTATCCCCTGTTCACAGCGCCATTGTCACGATATTATATTCTGCACACTTTCCTTCCAAGGCTCTGGTTGAATGAAGTTAAAGTTTTAGTGCTCAACTGTCTGTAACTGATCCATAAAAAGGCACAGGATGCTATCAAATGAAGGTGTTTTATCCGGTTTCAAAAGCTAAGCAAATACCTAAGCTCAAAACGCATTCATAAACTTCAAGTTCTTCTTTTGAAATTTCTTTTGTCTCCTAGGTTTATCTACTGCAGCGGGAGATTGCTGGAAGCAGTGAATGTTCATCGAATTTACAAAGATTCAAAAACATTTGTGGATATGGTAATGAAAAATGATCCAGGTTTGAAGAAATTGCTATTTTTTGAATTTTTCCAGAAATTTCATGAGATAAGAAGGATTAATCGGAAATATTTGAAGCATCATTTCCATTGTCCAGGTCAGAACGTCTTTGTTAAAGATCTTTAGTGGAACGTTTTTTTTTTTTTGGCTGTTGTTCAGAAGCAGCACTGACACTGTTGCAGAAAATACTCTTGAAGCTTTCAACAAACGATTTGGTGACTTGCCAGCTGGGATAATCGACCGCAGTGATTTGAAGCAATTTCTGGATGATTATTTTTTGCCGCCTAGTAGTGAACTGATCAACTGCACCCCTGCAGACTGGGTACCACGCCCGAGAAAACTGATGCAAATCACCGATCCAGTGCTTCGTCACTGGGCTCTGGATATTAATATGCTGTGGAAAACACTTTGTAAAACGGTGCGTTTTGGATCTACAAATAACTCTTGAGCAGCACATTACAAAAGATAAGATTGTTTGCGATTACTCTTGGTAACTGTGCAAGCTCATGTTCGCTTCAAAACCGCGAAGTACTGGCTGCATTGTTGCACATGGTGTGGACACTGCATGCTGTAAACAGTATCGGTTCTTCCTCAAAATATCCATTCTAAATGTTGCTTTGCTTCAGTCTCATTCAGTTAATCAAAATTAAATGAAATAACTCCTTTGCTTTTTATAGATCAATCCCGAAATGAAAAAGTACGAGTCGCGCTCGTCACTGATATACCTACCGCATAATTTCATGATCCCTGGTGGTCGATTTCGAGAATTTTATTATTGGGATACATACTGGATATTGAAAGGATTGATTGTTTCTGACATGCTCAACACAACTAGAGAGATGATCCTGAATCTGGCCCATATCGTTGAAAAGTATGTTTAATGCGTTATGCCGCACCAGTCAACAAAAATGCATTAAAACGACGTCCGATATGTGTGAATACATTTGTACTTGCATGTGTTTGTCAACACAGTTTCTGCTTCAGAACTGCAAAGCTAGGAACTGAATTTTTGTGATCAATATTCATGACCGTATTCAAACCCTGAAAATCAAATCAGCACATAGTTCTGTATGCCTTGACCTTTGACCTCGGGCTTCAGTTTGAGCCTGATGTTCGGTCTTGAGTCCGAATTTGGAGGGGCATCAGAGTTAAAAAATACAAAATTAAATTTTTAAGAATATTTTTGTTGACCGCGTAAAAAACCAAAAAAATAAGTCAGTCTGTGTTCTGGCTCTTGAGATTCGGCACAAATTCAAATGAGCTAAACTAGTATGTGTTTTTTTGTATGTTTTTTAAGCGTATGTTTGAGAGCTTACCTCTAGTGGTGGCTACAGTACTATGAAAGCTCAATCTTTGTTGTGATATGACGGAAAAATTTTTTCCGAATTGAAGTTTATTGGATTTGAGGCACAGCTTCATACCGAACGGAGGAAGGATTTATTATTTACATCGATCTCAACCGCCGGTGCTTTGTGGTATGGTGTATGAGTATTACGAAAGCACAGAGGATCTAGATTTTGTAAAGAAACTACTGCCCATTATGACAAAAGAATTCCAATGGTGGAAAGTTCATAGGTATAAAAAATCTGTTTTTGTGAGCTTTTGTATCAATTAAAGATCCTGTCGGCTTCTGAGCTTCTGTTTCAATTTCAAATTCAGGATAGTGTTGGAACTTCGAGACAATACAGGGCTTAGAATTCGAAATCAGGTAGATTACAATCACTACGGACAAAAGGGCCATTACGGCACTGCACGACCCCTTTTTGCATTTCCACGATCACTCACCTTATGTCTACAACAAGTAAGTCGCGAAAACGCATGTTCTTCTTTGTCGTGGCATATTTTTTTATGCAGAACAGTGAGTGTAACGATGAAGAACCAAGATCGACATACGGTGTTTCAATATCGCACTGATAGTAATGTTCCGAGACCGGAATCTTTCCGAGAAGACATCCTGTCATCTGTTGGGATTGTAAACAAGACCGAATTTTGGCAGGTTTGCCTGTTGGATTAAGCTCTTATTTATTCAATCCAAACAGCAGTGCATAGCAGAGATGTAGCTGGGAAGCGCGGGGAGGAATGAAGAATGAAAATGAGTGGAGAGGAAACAGCCGACTTCTTCGTTCATTAAAAATCTGCTTTTGCCTTTTCTAAAAACTTGCTGTATTCTATATTGTTTTTAATTTTAGATACGCTTAATATGTGCTGTATGTAATCTTAATGACTTTATTATATTATCACATGAAACGATGCATTAAGAAGATAATGAATAGGTGCTAAAAGGAAATGATTTTGCCCATCGCAAAAAATTTATCCTTTACAACAGAATAAAACTCCTCAGTGAAATGCTTAGGTTGATAATTGTTACATCAAGTGGAAAGCTATCGCAAAAATCCAGCTGTTTGAATCCGACAAATAAACTAAAGAGCTTGAACTTTTTCTTTCAAAAACCATCCTTTTTTGTGTTTTTAGCCATGCATGTTTATGTGGATATGGTGCATAGCACTTCTGCATTAAAAAAAAGCACTATGACGAGACCATGAAGTCCGCTTTACTGCGCGTTACATTTAGGGCCAGAATTACGAAGGGTAGAAAAACGAAATTTTAGGAACACAGTCTCAAGTTATTTTTATGCGTATTTGCTATGCAGCAAAAACGCATGTTGTCAAGAGGC